TAAGCTGATATGCTTAATATATCCAGTCTGCAAATCCAGTTGGGCCACTTTGCGACATGCCCACAAATCAGAGTACTTCCATGAAAAAAAACATAGTATAGATGAAATTCCTCAGCTTAACTTCTTAGCTGGTGCTATATAATTTCAAATTTGTCCCTCTTTCTTCAACTCTTGCATTAGTTTTATTATTCTTGGCAATAAAATAATCTCACCAATTGCTTTCCTATAAATTTGTGAATGAAAAAGTACAATTTCTCCTTGCCAGGTCTTCTTTTTAGTTGCCATCTCTGGAGAGGAGGAAGCGTTGCTATGATGTGTGTCAAAGACAAATAATTGGACTAAGATGAGAGGGTAGATGGCAAATAAGTTTCATCTTGTGGACTAATTCCAACTAATTTCTGTCTAGAGCACTGTATGTAAAGGATTCTGAGGCTGCATCTGGAGGCACTCAGGAAGGAAACAAAGAAAAAGTAGTTAAGAAAAGTAAGTGGAGAACTAGCAAATTTCAGAGTTACAGTAGCCTAGGTTTTCAAGGAGGGAAGAGATTAACAGTATCAAATGATGTAGAGCAAACAATTTGAAGAATGAGAAACGTCTATTAGATGTGACATTGAGGGGCCACTGATGTCCCTAATGACAACATGTTCAGTAGAGTTGAGAGGGAAGAAGTGAATAGGCTAAGGAGGAAATGAGTACTGACACAAAGATAGAAAAGAGTACTTATAAATTAGAGAGACAAAGCCAGTATATAGGATGACTGAAGACTAGAATATTTGATGTAGCAGATAAGGATAGAGATAAAAGCCAGATGGACGTATTGACCTTTCTAGGAAAAATATGACATCCTCTAAAAACTCTAGGAAAGGCGTAAAGAAGGATACTTCAGCAGGTAAATTTGTAGGAAAGAGCAAAAAGTTAAAAATTTCTAAGAAGTAGGAGGTAAGAACCTGTGTTTTAGGTGAAGGGACAGGAGAGTCAGAAGAGAAAAGAGAAAGTTTTGGTAAAGAATGAGAGAGAGAACTAAACACAGTTAAGCAAGCAAAAGGTATCGAGCAATGCTGAATACTCAGATGAGGCTGGAAATAGTGAATTTAAAACAGGGTTAATCTGTACGTGGTGTGCTTTTTGTCTAGCCTTCAGACATAGAAGAACAGTAGACTGTGGATTGGGTTGGCATTTTCCAGGGGTACAGCAGAAACACAGGAAAGGCCAAATACTGGAAGTATTTCAGTTAATCAACCATGAGATCTAGGCTAGCTACGGTAGGAGGAGAGGCTATAAGAAGGAAAACATAAGAGATAAGCTAGTGAGGCTGTAGACAAGCTTGGAAGGATAAAGTGTGTTGGACATAGTGAGACGTCAGAGTTGAAGATTTCTGAGGTGGTATAATTACAGATGAGAAGATGAAGCTGGCAGCCCTGGTAAAAGGTGGCTAATTTTCACCGGGAGGAGAGGACCACTGACACTAAAGAAGGCCGGGAAGAGGCTAAGCTCTTTCTATTTGTGTACACTTATTTCCTAATCCAACTTTCACACCACTGCTGAAAATCTCTGAAATCCGTCAGCTTCATTAAGGTAAATATGGAAGACATGCTTTTATTCAAAATGCTGCTAGGGAAAAAGCACAAATGCTTGGTCTGATACTGACTGTATGACTTTGAGCAAATCATAGCATCTTAAGGCTTCAGGTAATTCAGTCTGTCTACCCTCTATTTCTTAACTTCCCATCTATAAAAACAGCAATAATACAATCAGCTCTACATCCTTTAAAAATAAATATATAGATAGACAAGATCATAAAAGCAAAAGTTCTTGAAGGGGGAAAAAAAGAACTTTAACATCTGTTTAAAACTAACTAACTCAGATACTTCTTCAAAAAGGAAAATATAAGGGAGCAATGAAAGAGAATAATTATATAAAGGAAGAAAAATTAATCCAAACAGCAACGAAAGAGCTCATAGGAATCTATCTACAGTCCAGCGAAAAACAAATAGCTACAACCTCGACACAACTCAAAGTCAGCATTTTCTTCTGACTGACATACTGAGACAGACTCAGGGAAAGACAAGTCAAAAATGAAAGCTACCTTATCCACCACACAGGAAGAGAAATTACTGTCTTCCATAAGATAAACTGTTATAAGCTAACGACATTAATTTTTAGACAAAAAGAGTATTAAGGGGAGCTGGTAAAAACAATTCATTACGAAGTCATTTTTTTTTTTTAGTTTGGCATTCGTTTATAAAAACTGTTTTACTCTTTTTTCAAAGCAAAAATATGTACTTTAGAAATAAGTTGTAGTAATTTATGTTAACATGAAAAAACAGTATTTTATGAAGAATCAACTAAGAAATGCTTCTAGCCATAAAAAGTCCAACCTTATAGCACAAAATCAAACCCGTTATCTGAGTTATTGAGTATTAAAAAATCCTTTATCCTTGAAAGATCAAAATAAAACGCACCCTAGTAGCAAATCTGGCCAATTAATTACAAATGGGCTTGATAAAATATTTAATCCCTTGTTGTCCATATCACTCATAGGTTAATTTAACTATTACTTCTTTATGCTTCTTTTGTTTGGCTGTTTAACCTACATTTTCTCTAATGAAAATGTATTCCTTATATAAAAAAAAACTATTGCCTGAGAATTTTTGCCTATCTTTATGGCATGAATCAAAAATAAAAATAGCAGTGTTAGTAGGGGCATTGGGGAGTTTTTATATATGCTACTAACAGAACTCTCAACTAGCAAATCTTTAGCGGGAAATTTGACAATATACCAAAAGCCTTAAAAATGAACATATTCTTTAATCCTACAATTCCAATTTTAGGAGTTTATCATAAGGAAATAATTACGGATACATGCAAAGACTTCAATATGTGTAACAGTAAAAACTGGAAATAATTTAAAAGGTGAACATTAGGGAAATGGTTACATGAATTGCAGTTTATCTGCATTATGGAATACATACACCATTAAAAATTAAAAGAACTACTTAAAAACAAACAAAAAATTATCAAATAACATGGGAAAAGGCTCAATTACTGAGTAAAAAAATAGTTACAGAATCTGTACTAATGAGTGATTTAAGTTGAGTTTTTGTGTTGTTGAATTATTAGCACTTTCTAAAAGAAGTACTACAAAGAATACTCATAGCTTTTATATTAAAAAAAGTTATTCTAAAAAAAAATCTTGCCAATTCTTCCTTAAAGCACTTGGCATATTAAATACAGAAATAACACTGAAAAAACAGAGAAAGTTTTTCATATTATTTTGTACACACATTTGTCCATAATTTTATATTATCTTATTACTTAACAGGTATTTGTAACTTAGACATAAGATTGATGTTTTCAAAAATGCATTTGGAAGATCTGTGTTCTAATATTGACAGCAATGACGAAGCCCTCGCTTTTAGTCTCAACAATTTCCCTAATTCATCAAAAGCTCATAGTCCACTCTACTTTAAATTTTATCCTGCTTCACTTTCTCTCTGTATAGAATGAGCACATACAAACTTCTTCACAAGAATGTTCAAAGGAATTTGCATAAAGTATATCATATACCATACATCATATATATATACTAAAGTATATATTTGTCTCAGAAACAAAAATGGAAAATACCTTTTGATTGCCAATCCTCTCATCATTTTTATAACCCTAAACAAATTACTTAAGCTGTGTGCCTCTAAATTGTTGTATTTTTTTCTATAAATGGACAGTATTAAACTCCTTAAGGGTTTTCTTTGAATTACTAAAATAATCCCAAAACTGCAAATTTTTATATAAAATTTATAGTAAACGATGTGTTCTCAAATAATATAGGATATTAATTTATGTAATTACTCTGGTAGACTCTTTTCAGCATAAAAATCATTCTTTACAGAGTAAACTACTGCATTTCTAACTGTTTAATTTCTTTTTGAAGTAATATAAAAACAGTGATGCAATCTAATGTTTATTCTATGCTTCTTGAGTTATCTTACCTCCTAAATTATTCTGTATCTCAAGAATATATTAACATAGTTTTGGATGTAACGCAAAATTCTTTTATGGTAGTCTTTATCAAACACAAACAGAACTACCAAAGCCATGAATAACCACAAACTAAACATACTTTAGGAAAGACTGCCCCCTTGTGCCAATCAATAATATTCAACAGATTAAGAAAGAAGGCTAAAAGCTATTTCCGACACTAGAAGTACTCAGACTTCTAAAAAAGTCTTGATCATTCCATGTTCTAAATTCAACAGCTTATATTTAAAGTGGTGATCTTTAAAGAAAAATAAATTGAACAGTACATTAAGCACATAGGGATATGACTAATTTATGACATTCAGTAGCAAATACCAGCATAATTCACAACATTTAACTATCATGGATACTAGCTGCTCAAGAGCTTAGAGGCTGAGCTCACAGAGGTGAGTAATTTTCTGATCCTTCACTTCTACAACAAAATACAGAGAAAATAATTACAGAAACCAGTACATTTCAGAGCAAAAATAGATGAAGCAGGGATCGACTACGGTGACTTGTTTTAAAATATAGCTCATCCAAGTTTTTAGGCGTTTTCTTCTGAAATCTTGGGAAGCTGCTTTTCTTTGGATTTGACGTATGGCCAAGTACCCTTTATAAAGCTTCTTGACATACGTCAGTTGGTATCAGGCCATTCAAACATAAGTCATTATCACTATTATTACTATTATTATTACTAATAACTACAGTAGTGGACAAAAGTATTAGAACAATAGACTTGCTAAGGAAAAGAAACGTTAAGGCAATAAAAGACAGGTTACAATTAATTGTGAATGCAGACTTCGAATTTTCAACAGTGTAATATCTTTGCTAATTATGATTGGAACAGCTGCAATTCCATTTCTACCAAATAGCGTCTTTAGAAGAATTAAATGAATTCGCATTGATAAAGCACTTACATAAGTAAATGAATTAATAAGTATGGAAAACTACATAGTGTGCATACATTCAACAATACCTACTTTCGAAGATGGTCATGTTCTTTCAAAAATAGTTCAGTTCTTCTGTTGTTTACTCCAGACCCACTTTTATATGACCTAGATCAAAACAGAGAAAACTTATGAACATTTTTGCCAGATACGACATAGTTTTGAATGAACAATTAAAGTGTATAATCCTTTTCATCTCCTTCTAAAAATGACACCTGTTATAAATAAATATGAATGCCTCTCTCATGTAGGCCTAAGAGGTTATTATTTTTCACTAAAATAATCTAACATTCTTAAACAAACAAAAACGTTACTTTTCCTTTCTTTATTATCTCCTCTATCTTTATTTTCTTCAAGCGGAAGTAAAACTTTGGACCGATTACTACACAGCACATGGGGTGGGGAAGCTACTGAAACAGAATGTTTTCCTTCACAACAGTACATGCAGTCCATCAACTGAAGCCTAAGGAGCACTACAATGAAGCTAAAGATCTGCCAATTTCGGCATACTTAAGAATTTCTATCTTGGTCTTAAGTGCATTAAAATTTAAAAGAAAATGCTTTTTATCGTTTCTATCAACACTTTCATGCTTCTGTTGTTACTTACAATAAAGTATCAAGAACAAAATAAAAAATTCAAGTAACTGCACATATACTGCAATAAGATAAAAGAGGGTCATGCTGCTAAAAATGAACTACGAAATGGCTGAGAGGCAGTGCTAATGTGCAAAGCACAGTGGGAAAGAAAGCACCAGAAAAAGCAGCAAGATACAATCAAGAACACACTGGACTTGGAAGACTGATGATTTGCATTTAAATCCATACTCCATCATTTATTAGCCAGTTACCCTTTGACAAGTCTCCTAATACCTAGTTTCATAAAATAGGACTAATGATTTCTATCTATACCAAAAGATATGAAGTCAAAAAGAGATAATATATGGAAAGGTGGCGTGTAATTACAAAAACGTTTAAAACATCGGGGCTGGCCCCACGGCCAAGTGGTTAAGTTCACGTGCTCTGCTTTGGCGGCCTAGGGTTTCACCGGTTCAGATCTTGGGCGCGGACCTAGCATCGCGCTCACCAAGCCATGCTGAGGCAGGAGCCCACATAGCACAACTAGAAGGACCTACAACTAAAATATACCACTGTAGGGGGCTAGCCCCATGGGTCGAGTGGTTAAGTTCTCACGCTCCGCTGCAGTGGCCCAGGGTTTTGCTGGTTTGGATCCTGGGCAAGGACATGGCACCGCTCATCAAGCCATGCTGAGGCGGCATCCCACACGCCATAACTAGAAGGAGCCACAACTAAGAATATACAACTATGTACCGGGTGGCTTTAGGGGAAAAAGGAAAAAAAAATAAAACCTTTAAAATATACTACTATGTACTAGGGGGCTTTGGGGAGAAAGAAAAAAAAAGATTGGCAACATGTTGTTAGCTCAGGAGCCAATCTTAAAAAAAAAACTTCAAAACATCAGTTATTACTACTACATATCATCTCACTAATCATATTCTGCCTCGTATTACATTAATTTGAGTATGTGCCTTACTCCTCTTTAGCACGTAGATTATAAACCCCTAGAACGTCAAGTTGGTCTTTTCATTTCTACCCTCTACTGTGACTGACACAGTCTTATTCATGGCTGGTAATCAAGAAATAATTTAATGAATGGATGAACAAGTTTCTTTTATGATCATCTTTCAGAAAGCAAGTTATCACAGCGGGCTGTATGCTAATGTTTCCCACAAACTGTGGGGGAGCTAAATGCCTGCACATTAAAGGCCGTCCCCTAAACTGGTTCTCAATGCATTCCTTAAGACATATATAAATAGACTGTACAGCAATTAAACAAAAGACTTACAAGTTCCTGAGAACTAAAAATATTAGAAAATTTCTAATTATGGCAAAAATGTTTATTTTTTTACTCCTATATGTTAAACAAAGGACATACGACTAAACACAAATAAAACAGAGAGAAACAACAAAAATTTATTTTCCAAGATAATTTCTAGAGGAGGAAATGACCTTTGGTGGCTGGATAATCCTGGGTTACAGTTTTGAAAAAAAATTTTGAATGCAATGAATATTAAATTATTTCTGCTGCAAAGCTGTCTTACTGTTACAATAAAATAAAGGAGGCCCATGAAAATGTTCCTCAGAGTACACAGGATATATATCAGTTTATGACATGGTAATGTATCTAACAGTTTATGAAACATAAGTATCATAGTTAACTTATGAAACACAAGTATCATAAACTTATCACAAGTGAGACAACGACCAGCATCAACAGATGGTCCAAAAGTGGGAAAGTCTGCAGCTTTAATTAGCTGCCCAACGGATTTCACCTTATCAGTCATGTTCAGTTGTGAAAAAAATTTCAAAAATGTGTATGAAATGCTAGAATATATTATTGAAGGTGAGGTAAAGGTATGGAATAAAAGGACAAATCTTTAAAATTATGGATTGAGATCAGCATGAAAATGTTGGGAGTCCTCAAATAATTTGGCCTAAGGCTATGAGTTTGTATAAAATCTGGAAAAAACAGTTATTTCTGATTCAAGGGAAGTAAAGGCTACTTTGATAGCTACCTGAATACATAATTTTGGGGGCAAGGGAGAGGGTAGGGGATAGGTGGTAATCAGGAAGGGAAACACGGAGAGCTTCAATCATCGGTAATGTTATAATTCTTAAGGTGGGTGGTAGGAGATCAGAGAAAAACTCATGAAGATATCATCTAAGCTGGACTTTGAATTAAGACAGGAAAGTCAAGGTTGGCAGGAGTCAGTGATAAAACTAGGGAAAGTTGGAAATGAAACCAGCAAAGTAGATTAGGACCATACTGTAGCAGCAATGTTTAAAAATAGTGAAATGGGAATGAGAAAGCTGGAAATCTAAATCCTGGTTCTGTTACTCAATTTGCTGTTAATCATGGATATACTCTAAATCCAAATCTGAACAAATACCCAACAAAATAATATAAAAGGTAACTTACTCAATGTCTTTTCGTACTGATCCCAAGAGATTCTCCCTTTCCCGTATTGCCATGAAGTTTGCTTTGGTTTTATGGAATTCATGTGTATAATCCTGCAATAAATCAACATCCAGTCACAACATAAGTTAATTATATATTTTTATTTCATTGAGGCAGTTATTCATTGTCATCCTTTTAGAAATTTCTGCCAAAAAACTTCTATTTAAGAAATAAAATTGCCAAGAAATAAAAACAACATTATAATCATTTTCCTGAAGAGTAACCAACTGCTTTCAAATGAAAACAATTTGGTGCTAGGGTAATGGTGCCACTAAATCATTCTTCTTCAATGTTCTAGTACGGGGCAGAATTGTGAAGAAAAAAATAACTCTAAGATAAAATGACTTCAAATATCCTAGGATAAAATTGAGCGGCTCTTTCTACTCATTAGCGTACCCAATGGGGCTTATTTTCAAATTTCATCCTTTTGGAATTCCCAAAGAAATTTAATTCCTAAATCAACCAAAGGAAGAACAGAACCAAGAGAACTGTAAACAAAATAATCTTTAAATATTTTCCTTTCTTTTTCTATTATCATATTTTAAGATATTAAGGAATATTCATTACTTTTTTAATTCAGAGAAGTATATATAAAGAAGATGAAAATCATAATCCCATCTTCCAGTGAGCCCATATTGACACTTTAAAAACAAAAATAAGGGGCCGGCCCCATGGCCGAGTGATTAAATTCATGCACTCCACTGTGGCGAACCAGGGCTTTGCCTGTTTGGATCCTGGGTGCGGACATGGCACCGCTCATCAAGCCATGCTGAGGCGGCATCCCACCTGTCACAACTGGAAGGAACTACAACTAAAAATATGCAACTATGTACCAGGGGGCTTTGGGGAGAAAAAGGAAAAATAAAATCTTAAAAAAATAAAAATAAAAAAAGTAATACACGAATATAGGGAGAACACTAAAAGAGCACCAAAAGGAATAAAAGAACCGTCCCGCTCCATAGTTCATAACATTATCATCATTTTCTTTCACGAAATGTTTTTGTATATACAAGCTTATCTATTATTTCTTTCATTTATGCTAAAGAAATCATACCGTATTCTGCTGTATACCTCAATTTTTCAAGTTCATAAAATATCAAGTAATCTTTTCATATTAGCAAATAGAAATCTATATTCTTTTAATAGCTATATAGAATTCTATCTTATGAGTCTATTATAATTTAATAAATTCCCTACTGATAAATATTTTAGTTGCTTTCATTTTTTTCTGGTAAAAAATGCTGCAAGAAACATTCTTTTATACATATTTTATTGAACTCTTTCTTTTCAAAGAGTATTTAGAGTAAATGCCTAGCAGAACACCTGGATCAAAGAATCTTACATTTAGATTTTGATAGCACTAAGCTGCCTTCTATAAAGACTGCATCAATTCATGTTCCCAGCAAATGGATGAGTGCCCACTTTTCTACACTTTTGCCAATAACAGGTCACAAATGTTTCAATATTTGCTAATCTGACAGATGAAAAATCATGTCGCATTTTGATTTGTCTAATTTTATTTGGGAACGTGGCTGAACATCTTTTTATGGTTTTGGCCAGTGATTTTCTGTAAACAACAAGTTCACATCCTTTGCCCATTTTCCTATTAGGTTGCCTTTTTCTTATTTCTATTATTTCTTTGTATATTAAAAAAATTAGTCATTTGTTATAGTTCCTGGTATTAGATTTTGCATACAAAGTCCTTCAATACCTAAACTGTATAATTTCATCATGATTTATTCTGAACTTTTATGATTTCTTTTTCTATACGTAGATCTTTAATCCATTTGGAATTTACTCTGGATGGGAAGAATGAGATAGACATTGAGGTTTGTTTTTTTCCCCCAATAATTAGCCGATTGTTACAGCTCTATTTACTTTATAATCCCTCTTCTTCCCACTGATTTAAAATACTACCTTTATCAGAAACTAAATCTCTATGCATATTTGTTCTATATATGAACTCCATTCTGTTCTATTGGTCTACTTTTTCTCTAGAATCAAACTATCTTAATTATCCTAGATTCTTAACAGGTTTTAACATCTGGTAGAACTAGGCATCCTTTACTACCTATCTTCATTTTCACATATTTTTTCTTAGTTATTCTTGAATTTTAGTGTCATTTTACCAACTAAAAAAAAAAATGAAACAAAGAAACAAACAAAAACCCTGTTATTTCCATTGGGATAGCAATCAATTCACAGGTTGATTTAGAGAGGTGTCTTCCCACCCAAACGCAGAGTAAATCTTTTATGTTTCTCAGTAGAGTTTTATATATACGAGTCCTATACATTCTTTTATTTTTTTCTTCTCCCCAAAGCCCCCTAGTACATAGCTGTATATTCTAGTTGTAGGTCCTTCTAGTTCTGCTATGTGGGACGCCGCCTCAGCACGGCTTGATGAGCAGTGCTAGGTCCGCGCCCAGGATCCGAACCAGTGAAACCCTGGGCCACTGAAGCAGAGTGCATGAACTTAAACACTTGGCCACTGGGCCAGCTCCCTATATACATTCTTATTACATTTATAGATAAGGGTTTTATAGTTTCTTCCTCTGTATTTCCTAACAGGTTATTGTTTGTATGTAGAAAAACTACTTGCCCTTATATATTAATTTTGTAATCCACCATCTTACTGAATTTGTTTCTACTTTTGTGGGAGTTAGTTTTCTTATTGTATTGGATATATAATCTTATCACTGCCACATAATACAAATTTTGTCTCTTCCTTTCCAAAATTTATATCTTGTTTCTTTTCACTGCCTAATTGCTCCACCAAGAACTTCCAAAACAATATTAAACATCTGTGGTGATTGTGGATACCCTTGTCTTGTTTTTTTCTTCAATGGAAGTGCTTTTAGTGCTTTATTTTTAAACATGATGCTAGCTTTTAATCTGATATACACATTTTTACATCAGATAAATAAAGTATCCTTCTATTCCTATTTTCGACAAGAGTTTTGAAAATTAGAAATGGTTGCTGAATTTTTTCAATATTAAAAATATTTGTCCTTCTAGTTGTACTACTATATTTTTAACACCCCCATATGTAAATCTTTAAGAGCTTATTTCATTTTATTGGTACACTTTTAATATTTTCTCAAATAATATACTAAATAAATACAGCAAATTACTCCTCTTCCATGTTATCTTCAAAGCCTGACAAAAGTATACTTGAAACCACCGTATTATCGCCTATACATGACCAATGGCTATTTCACCATTACAGTTAGCTATGAGGTCTCTCACGGTAGAAGTATATTTATCTACTGACAAATATTATTCAATTCTACCAGGCAAAAGCAAGAGCTAGTAGACATTTTCAGAATTTCACAACACCAAAGGAAAGAAAGCAAAACAAGACAAATTTCTATAGCACGACATTTATCCTCAGAAGATTTTTCCCTTCGCTCTCTTAAATACATGTATATACATTCCATACAGGGATTAAAAAGAAAGAGACTTCTATGATAACAAAAATCTCAAGCCCAATATATTACCTGCAATATGTCTCTATGTCGCTGTAATGTATGCATCAGTGCTGCATTCAAGGAGGGGACACCCGCACTGTTGGTATATTCTGCCATTTTATCATTTACTCCTGTGAGCTAAAAAGAAGAAGAAAGAAAATGAAAACCAATAAATATATTTTAGAAAGCACTATAAAGAGTTAAAAGTCAATTATCTGCCTGTATGTCCTTTTGGATAACAGCAAAAAACAAACAAAAAAAACAAGAAGTAGACAGTAGGCAAGGTCAGTATTTCCCCCAAATAATCCATAAAGGCAAAAATAACATCCACAGGATCTGGGAATGGCTGTCATCAAAATTCAAGTGCCTAGGGAGGCACACATCTTGAATGAAAGGGTGATTTCAATAAACAGGTCTGTATTAATATAATCCAGTATCATAACAAGTATACAGTTATTAGCAAAAAGAGTTATTTAACAGAAGGTGCTTACCCTTGCCAAAAGCTGCTCAATTTCAATTGCCATTGTTTCAAACATTCTGTCTTGGCTTGATCCATTTAAAAGAGGTGTTGTGTCAGAGCTAAAGAGAAGTTCAAATAAAGAGAATCTATTACTTAAACCTAATCCTTTAAAAAATAATTAAAATAATAAGGTAATTATTCTTAAAGAGGTCAAATGGAACCCCTGAGATCCGTTTCTTAAGAAGCTATAATTTTTATAGCAGTTTTCCTATAAAGATCATACATGTCCTAAATATTAAGTTCAGTATAAAATATGATTGAGTGTAAGATTTTCCCAAGCTTTAATACATCTAATCTTAATAATGTAAAGCAATTCCAAATGCTTGTTTACTGTCCCAAATGAAAGTAACTTAAGCTATGGCAGTGCCCAATTAAATGCTGACTCTAAAAGAACAAATCATGTGAAATAAAGCCATGGAAGTATGCAGTACAGCATATAAGAGGAACCATAAAATGTACTATGAATTTTGTTATGAGATTTGTGAGGAATAATCTTTTAAATTTTTACCCCAAAACAATTATGGTCCCTTAGACCTTAAATTAAGTTCTCTCTTCTTTCTTTGACTCTTACCAAGAAGAAATAAAATTGAGATTTAAATAATCTACAGACTGGATAACTAGTTATTAAATAAGCAAGAACTGGCTTCAAGTCTAACATAGACAGCAATGTCCAGCAGAGAAATTTTAGTACCAACACTCTACATTTCCATTTATATTGTCCATTTGTTCCCACTGTTTTGTAAAAATGTGTTGAAATGTCTTAAACCTGAAAAGTGAGTCACAAATCTAACTTTTTACAAGTGAAATTTATGTTTGACAGATTCAAATTCTAAAACTGCACATCCTGAAAGTTTCTTTTGACTCTTAAGTCAACGACTAACTTTCATTAGCTTTCCAAGTGGTCCATACATGAGCAGCTCAATACAGATCTTAATTATACTGATACAGATAAATGCTCAAGCAATGACTATGTCTCCAGTCTCACTGAAGACTTTGTCCTGCCCGGTGACAGTGCTTGGGTGTGGCAAATTAAAAAACTAAATCATCAGTTTAACATCAAAAAGTGCCTTAGCTACTACTATTTCTCTTCTCATATACACCTCCACACCAATAGTAACAAGCAGTGAAATAGCCAAAAAGTAGCTAAAATGGAGAATTTTTATTTTAAGATGTTCAATTAGGCCCAGATTTTTATTTCTTCTCGAAATAATTCAATGTGTTTGCCTTAAAACAGATATCAAAATAGCTAGCTCTTTAGTACGTGTCAGAGTGAACCCAAGGTTCTGCTGTTGTCTCTTAGGATGTGCCCAGGCAAAAATGCTCTATATCCTACTAATACCTCCCTACCCTAAGATCCTTCCCTCCAAGATATATGAAAAAGAACAATGGGCCAACAAATGCAAACTCCATGAGGAGGGAAACTGTCTATGTCTTATTCTCAGATACATGCCTAGCACCTAAAATGGCGCCTGGCACATGGCAGATGCTCATTAAATATGAGTTGAATGAATGAGGAGGCAATTTCTACATTCTCCATTCTCAGGAGAGTATATGAGTCCAGGAAAATGGCCAAAAACTCATTCTCCACAATACTAAGATTCAGTTAAATTTAATTCATTCTATAGGTGTGTGATGATTCACAGACTACATGAAATTCTCAAAATACATGGAGTTAAAAAAAAAAAAAAACTATTCCTGGAAGAAAAATCCTCTCATCATTGAGTTTACTCATCATGACATGCTTTCAACCCGGGCAAGAAACAAAACACTTTGGAATGCACACTGGATCTGGATCTCCTTGGCTTTAGGTTTCTTATTGAAAGGAACAGTTAGGCTGAAATAATTCTATAAAGTCAGTCCCAATTAGTTGTAGAATTTCTTACGCAATGTTTTCAAGATAGTTTTTCCCTTAAAGGAATCACAAAAGTATTAAGTGCACGAAGCACAGAGAACATAAAAAAAGCATCATCTAACTGCATCTCTTAACAATTAGCAGTTTTAAAATTATATACTCACTGGCATAGCCAAGTGGGAGACTTAAATTCAGGAAAAATGCTTTCCAATGTGATAAAATAAGTTTACTCATAGAAAAGAACATTCCTTATTCTCTTTACTTGCTAAGTAAAGGCACGCCCGAAAAAAATGCACTGCACTCAAAGCTATGTGGCATGCCAACAGCTTACTTTTAGGTCCTAAAGTTAATATGTTGACCCTGCTATCTTTAATTTTAATTCTTTAATAAAGTGCCCTTATTTAAAAAGAAGCAATACTTTGGCTAGTGATAAGGGTTCTGGAGATAGGAAAACCTAGGTTCAAATCCAAGACCAGTTTTTGTCGTTTTTATTATTATCAGCTGAAAAAATATGCTATCTACCACCAATCCTCAAAAAAGTATGTAAAATAAACAGAGGATAACAACTAACAACTCTACTACCAGCAATTCCACTGTTAGGTATACAGAAACACTTTATAGGTGAAAATGTTCCCAGCTGGGGCCAGTCCCATGGCATAGCCATTAAGTCCAGCACGCTCAGCTTTGGCAGCCTGGGTTGACTGGTTCAGATCCTGGGCGCGGACTTACAACACTTGTCAAGCCATGTTGTGGCAGTGACCCACATACAAAATAGAGGAAGACTGGCACAGAAGTTAGCTCAGGACTAACCTTCCTCAAGCCAAAAAAAAAAAGAGGAAGACTGGCAAAGGATGTTAGCTCAGAGCAAATCTTCCTCCCCAGAAAAGAAAAAAAAAGTTCCCAGTAGCCTTTATATAAAGCTCTTAAAACAGTACCTGACACATAATGAACACTCTGTGTCAGTTATTAAAATTATTATTAATTAGCAAAAATTAGAAACAATGTCCAACTACAGAATAAATTGTGATAAAATCATACAATGTAATACTATACATAGCAAACGAACACAGCACAGTTAAATGTATCCATAGCTGAATCTCAAAGATAATGTTAAACAAAAAAACAGTTGCAAAATAACTATAGCTCCTACTATGAGTTGTTTAGGAACACAAACATACGTAGTAAAAACATATAGAGATTATGGGGAGGGAGAAAATGGAGTGCCATCCAGGGCTTCAACTGAACTGGTAATGATTATTTCTCAAAGTGGGAGACAGGCATGTGGGGGTCCGTTATATTTCCTAAAATTTTTTGAAACAAGTGGATGGCCTAAAGGGAGCATAAGATTCAAAGATGAGAATGTATTTTCCATATGTTCAATATAGTTGTATACCAGATTCTCAAAAAAGAAGTAAAATTAAAAACAGCTAAGAGGATTAACAGGGGGGATACATACTACATTAGATCCATCCTAAAACACCAGAAGAGTAGTATGCATACCTTGCACTTAGGTAATTCCCCAGATCTGTTTAGCAATTAGAAGCTATAGGAAATACAATGGGGGCAAATTAACCACATTTCCTTACAAAGGCTGAACTAGAAACTCTTATTTCTGATACAAACTCATTCTTAAGCCTTAGCATTCTCCTCCTAACACTGTCACAATCCTTGTCAAAGGATCCCAAAGAAATGCTAGTTTCAAGAATTAAGGAGAATTTTTATAAATCACTAAAAAATAAAACAATCAATAACAAAATAAAACACCAAAAATTCACCAAATGACCAAGTTAGAGTTATGTATTTCAGTTAAGCTTTTAATGCTTTAAAAACATTATATACTTTAAGACGTAAGAGAGAGAATCTGGTAGTACCTATACCTGTCGCGTCTTCCATCTCGGGCACTGCTGTGACTGTAACTCGTACATAGTTTACTGAAGGAAACCAGTTTCAGATCGAGTTCATTTTCCAGCTGTCGAGCCTGTTTCCTCAGATCTTTAATAAAATTACAAAAGCAAATTAGATGCAAAAAGTCCAACAGCAGACATGAAAATCATAAAACTACTCTGAAGAAAACAAACAATGCAAATGATTACATAAAGAAAAGTGTTCTAGGGGCCGGCCCCGTGGCCGAGTGGTTAGGTTCTCGCGCTCTGCTTCAGTGGCCCAGGGTTTCACAGATCCTGGGCGCAGACATGGCACTGCTCATCAAGCCATGCTGAGGTGGCGCCCCACACAGCACAACCAGAAGGACCCACAACTAAAATATACAACTATGTACTGGGGGCTTTGGGGAGAACAAAAGAAAAATAAAATCTTTAAAAAAAAGAAAAGTGTTATAAGGAGGAAACCAAAGACTCATCCAGGAAAGCAAACTGTCACTTATTTAAACTTCAGATGGGATAAGAAGGGGAGAGACAGTGGGAGACGCAAAATTTCAGCTTCATCCGCAAAACGGCTAGACAACAAATGTCCTAACATCCATGAAATTATTTCTATAGCAGTATCTAAAATTTCATAATTTAGAGGAAAGCAGAAGAAAATACAGATCACAAAGGAACTGAATATGGTTTATGATCAGCATTATATTAATTTACCAGCTATCTTTATGAAAAAGAAACCATCACTGCTTTTGTCAGAGATTTTCCTACCTCTTTACGTCCCAAAGCTTCATTAGGCTTAAGAAATTCTTTTTTTTTAAAGATTTTATTTTTTTCCTTTTTCTCCCCAAAGTCCCCCCTTCCCCACCCCCCTGGTACATTGCTGTGTATACTTAGTTGTGAGTCTTTCTACTTGTGGCATTTGGGACGCCACCTCTGCGTGGCTTGATGAGTGGTGCCACATCCGCGCCCAGGATCCGAACCAGCGAAACCCTGGGCCGCCACAGCAGAGAGCACAAACCTAACCACTTGGCCACAGGGCTGGCCCCAGGCTTATGAAATTCTTAATAGTAGAATGACTTAGTGATTGAGCATAAAGAAAAAATAAATAATCATACAAAAAGACAAAAATATTGTCTTTCAATGAGTTTACCGAAAGAAATTTGGAGAGGCTGAAACTAACAATAAACAACATGCTACTAACAAGGTCAAACAAGTATGACAGAAATAAGAGGATAAGTTTTAAAAGAACAGAAGTAAACAAGCAAGCAGAGAAACTGGTATGGTAGTTTGGCATCTAAGTGGTTGAGTGAGAGAAGCCACAGTCCAGAAACCCACATCTAGATGTGAGTACTCTCGTTCATGGTGAAGCAAGGTGCAAATAAACGGGCTGAAATATAGGAAGGAATGATGTAGGAATGATGTAAGGATCGCATCTGTCTGGAATAACGAATGCAAAACGTTATTTCAACATACTTATCAAGAACCAAAAGCAGAAAGCAGACTAACACAGTGAAGAACATTTGTCCAGAGACCCTATCTCAGAATCTCAGCTCAGCCTAAAGTTCTGAGATTCTGAGAACTGGCTCTGATTTACTGACAATCTACGAACCTCGGCTTTTTGTTTTTTAAACCCCTACCTTCGGGGGGTTTTTCTATGTATTAGTAATCATGCGTTTAAAGCACCTGGCACAGACTAGGTTGTCAGTAATAAGCTTCTATAATTACTATAGCATGGTGTTTCAAAAAACCATAGCCTAACGACGAGTATTAAAGTTACCAATAGCCACTTCTACATAGTTTACATAATTTAAAAATATTTTCTAGCTAGTACACACATTTCAAATAGGCACTTCAATACATGTTCAAACTGTAAGCACGCTTTTCTGTAACTAGTAACTGACTTTCTAACAGAAAACATCAAGTAAAAGTTATTTTGAGAAGTCTAAGAGGCAAGTATGGATGAACTTAGAATTAAGTTTCTTAGACCAAGTGTCTGATAGTGACAATATTGTTATTTGTGATGGGTGTCCAGAGGCTTCAGTGCGTAGCAATAGGAAATAGGTTAACAGGGGAAAGGGATTTGGAGAGCAGTTTCCATGGAGCAGTAAAGGAAACAGACAACTGAAAGGGAAAGGTGAGCCTTCTCTGATCTTTGTTCATCATCAAGGCCCAGGAATGAGTTTTACGCGAGTCCAATTTATCGGACCATTATTTTCAGGAGTTAAACAAACGGACTCGCCAAATCACAAGACAGTTTTTTGGTAGAAGAGCTACAGCAAATGCAATAATTAGAATCCACACTGGTTCTCCCAACTTTCTCTCTTTAACAAAACCGATGGCCAGAGCAAAGGCAAAGTTTCCTCTGCCTTCAAAAGCCGACTCGACACCCAATCCTCGAAGTCGTAGCCTGAAGCTGCCAAGGGGACCCAGTCAGAGACATTCCACTCATGCAATTCGCCTCGGTGGACCGGACTGACAAGTTCCTCCTTTCGCTTTTCCTGCCCAGTAGTCCGACAGTGACCTCAACTCTCAGGCGCTGCTCCCCCCACTCGCCCGGGCTCGGATCTTCTCGCTCAACACTGGCTTCCTCGCAGAGTTCTCAGCCCAAGCCACTTCGTCCGCGTTCCGCTACCCCCTCAACCCAGTTCTCCCCCGGCCACTCAGGCCCCTCTTCCCCTCGGTGCCCGCTCAGCCCCTCTGCCCCAGCCCTGCCCCAGGTCCCGCTGCCTCTCAGGCCAGCCCCCTGCCCCGGACCGTCCGGGCTCCTCGGCCCCCAGGCCCGGGCTCCCTCTAGAGCAGCCCCGCCCCTCAGCACCCCGCCCCGGAGGCCTGGCTCTTGCCTCCGCTGCCTCCCTCAAGCCCCGTCCTCACTCAGGCCCTCGCCCCTTGACCAGATCCACCCGAGGCCTCGCCCTCACCTTCCCAGTAATTGCTGGTTCCTGCCGCCATCTTTGTTGCCCAACGTCAGTGGGGATAGGAGAGCCGAGACGAGGCGAGCCACAGAATCACCTCTGAACCTTCTTCCGCCCGGGCGCCAGGGCCGATGGGATACGTGAGCTTCCGCAGACACCGCCCCCTGGCGGGCGAGCCGTCATTTTACAGCTGTGGAGGAGCGAGGCTGAAAACTTCAGCTTTAGCGCCTGACGCTCTCCCTGAACGTCTGTCACTGGTGTATATATCCGCTCTCTGCGCTCTCAGCTCGGTTTATCCCATCTCGGCAGGGGCCTACTTGACTGAGAAGAAAGTCATCCTCAGACCCAACGTCCTGTTTCCGTCACCTTCTCTCAAATGTAATTTCCCTTCTGAGTTAGAGGCGCTTTTTTTTTTTTTGCTATGGAGTTATACGAATTCTTTACATATTTTGTATATTAACCTCTTATCAGGTGTATGATCTGCAAATATTTTCTCCCGTAGGTTGCCTTTTCATTGTGTTGATAGTTTCCTTTGCTGTGCAGAAGCTTTTTAGTTTGATGTAGTTCCACTTGTTCATTTTTGCTTTTTGCCTTTGCTTTTGGAGTCAGATCCCCAAAAATCATCGCTAAGACCAATGTCAAGGAGCTTACTGCCTATATTTTCTTCTACGAGTTTTGTGGTTTCAAGTCTTACTTTCAAGTCTTTAACCCATTTTGAGTTAATTTTTGCATATGATGTAAGATAGTGGTCTAGTTTCATTCTTTTGCAAGCGGCTGTCCAGTTTTCCCAACACCGTTTGCTGAGGAGATGGTCATTTTCCCATTTTTTTTAAAGATTGGCCCCGAGCTAACATCTGCTGCCAATCTTCTTTTTTCTTCTTCTTCTCCCCAAAGACCCCCAGTACATAGTTGTATATTCTGGTTGTAGGTCATTCTGGCTCTGCTATATGGGACACCGCCTCAGCATGGCTTGATGAGCAGTGCTAGGTCCGTGCCCAGGATCCCAGCCAGGGAAACTCTGGGCCCTGGAAGCCGAGAGCACAAACTTAGTCACTCGGCCACAGGTCGGCCCCATCCCACTGTATATTCTTGACTCCTTTGTCATACGTTAATTGACCATATATGTGTGGGTTGATTTCTGTGCTTTGTATTCTGCTCCCTTGATCTATATGTCTGTTTCTATGCCATTACCATACTGTTTTGTTTACTGTGTCTTTGTAATGTAGTTTGATGCCAGGGGAGTGATGTCTCCAGCTTTGTTCTTCTTTCTCAAGATTGCTTTGGCTATTCAAGATCTTTCATGGTTCCATACAGATTTTAGGAATGTTTGTTCTATTTCTGTGGAAAATGCCATTGGAATTTTGACAGGGATTACATTGAATCTGTACATTGCTTTGGGTAGTATGAATTTTTAACAATATTAATTCTTCCAATCCATGAGCACAGAATATCTTTCCGTTGATTTGTGTCTTCTTCAGTTTCTTTCGTCAGTGTCTTATAGTTTTCAGTGTACAGGTCTTTCACCTTCTTGGTTAAATTTATTCCTAGGTATGTTAATCTTTTTGATGCAATTGTAAATGGGATTGTTTTCTTAATTTCGGTTTCTGATAGTTTGTTGTCAGAGCCAGAGGCTCGTTTCTTCCCAAGACCAACCCCTTCATCCTCCTTCTGCCTGTGCTTCATTATCCCACTGTTTCTGGCATATGTGCTCCTCTTTTCCCCCGGCTGCCTTTTCCTCTACTATACAGTAGTTATAGTCCCAGCCCTCTTTCCTTTCCAGTTACCAAATCTAGACAATATGTGCCAGCTGCTTCCATGTGCTCCCATCCTGACCCCTCTACCTGTTAAAATCTGCTGTCCAAACCCACGCTTTGTAGATACATACGTTATCACAGTCTACTTGTGTCCATATTTTACCAGTTCTAGAGTAGTGTGGAAACCTTACCTCCTGTAAAATCCCTTTACTCAATTCCATTATAATTGTCTTTAATATTTCCTCTACGTTCACTGAGAACCACATCAGATAATATTATAATTTTTGCTTCAACTGTCAAACAGAATTCAAAAGGAAAAGGAGGGGCCAGCCTGGTGGCACAGTGTTTAAGTTCGCATGCTCTGCTTCAGTGGCCTGGGGTTCACCGGTTCGGATTCCGGGTGCAGACTTACGCACCGCTTGGCACACCATACTGTGGTAGGCATCCCACATATAAAGTAGAGGAAGATGGGCATGGATGTTAGCTCAGGGCCAGTCTTCCTCAGCAAAATGGGGAGGATTGGTGGCAGATGTTAGCTTGGGGCTCATCTTCCTCAAAAAAAAAAAAAAAAAGGAGAAGGAAAGCTGACTGTATTTACCCATATTTTACTCTTTCCATTGTTCTTTCTTCCTTCCTGATGTTCCAAGCTTCCTTTCATATGATTTCCTTTCTGTTTCAAGAACTTCCGTTAGCCATTTTTCAAAGAGTAGGTCAGTTGGAGACAAATGCTATTAATTTTCCTTCATTTGAAAATGTCTTGCTTTCCTCTTTGTTTCTGAAAGATATTGTTGCTAGATATAGAATCTGGGGCTGATGATTTATTTTCAGCACTTGAAACATGTGCCAATTCCTCTGGCCTCTACAGTTTCTGATGAGAAATTGGCTATTCTTTTTTCTACTATAGCTAAGGTATCCTTTCTCTCTCACTGCTTCCAAAACCTTTTCTGTAGTTTTCATAAGTTTGATTATGATGTATCTTAGTGTAGATTTATTTGTTTTTTTTTTTTTTTCCTGTTTGGAATTTACTCAGCTTCTTGAATTTGAGGTTTATGTCTTTTGCCAAATTTGGGAAATGTTCAGCCATTATTTCTTCTAATACTTTTTTCTGCCTCATCTTCTCTCTCCCCTCCTTCTGGAACTCCGATGACATGAATGCTAGATCTTTTGTTATAGTCCTGCATATCCCTGAGGCTCTACTAATTTTTTTCAGTCTATTTTCTGTTGTTCAGATAGGGTAGTTTCTACTGTTCTGTTTTCAAGTTCACTAACAGGCATGTCGGTCCTCTGTCCCCTCTGTTCTACCGTTGAGCCCATCACTGAATTTATTTCAATCATTGTATTTTTCAGATATAAAATTTCCATTTGTTTCCTCATTATATCTTCTATTTCTTTGCTGACACTCTTTTTATCAATTATTTGTAATTGCTCATTAAAATATTTTTATTATATCCTTGTCAGATAATTCCAACATCAGTGTCATCTTGATGTTGGCATCTGTTGATTGCCTTTTTTTGTTCACATTGAAATTTTCCGGGTTCTTGGTATAATGAGTGATTATTTATTATATCCTGGATATTTTAAATATAATAAGACTCTGCATCTTATTTAGATCTTCTGTTTAATCAGAACTCCTCTGACACTGTGCTGGTAGGGGAGGTGAGGAACAGCCTTGTTACTACCAGGTGGGAGTGGATGTTCAGGCTCTCCCTTGGCCTCTGTAGATACCTGGGGTTGGGGGTGCCTTATTACTGCTCCGCATATGGTCTCCACTGACACCATGGTAGGTGGCCTCATTACCACTGTGTGTGCTGGAAATCCTGGCTTCCCACTTGGCCTTCTTTGACACCACGCAGGCAGTGGGGAGGGGTGCATGATTATGGCCTGGTGAGCATGGAGTCTAGGCTCCCCACTCAGCCTTTGCTGGCAGGGGGTAGAGATGGGCCTCAGTTTTTTCTGTGGCATTTGGCTGGAGTAGTGCAATTATTGTCTAAAAGTATTCTGTCTTGGTAGCCTATCCCTTCCTGGTTCTTTCGGTAGAGAAGTCTTTTCTTTGGGCTTTTTTTATCTGTATCCTTTGGCATTTTGGGGTTGCCAGTTTCTCCAGCACCAATTGTGGGATATATGAGGCAAAAAGAAAACCCAGGGAGCTCACTACCATGTCGTCCCTTGGATCCTGAGGTCCCTAGCTGGTCTGCCTTCTCTCCACCTTTCTGAGTCTCTATATTTATGTATAGATATAATGTATGAGTTTTTTGCTGTGCTTAGTGGAATAGAAGAGAAATACATCTACTCATTTTGTCCGAACCAAAAGCCTCCATTTAATTTTTTAATAGACTTTAATTTTCTGCCAAAATTCATCTTGTCTTCTACTTTCTTGAATTTACTCCTCACCATTAAAGTTTCTGATTTGTAATAGAAAAATCTGTATTTCCTGTGGGACTGTTTCTAATTTTTTTTCTTGATCTTTCATCGTTTGATATGTCTTTTGATAATGAGTAACTTTTGATTGGATGCTGTATGTAATAGATTAAAATCTGTAGTCATCATTTGGGGTTCTTCTTCTTCCAGGGACAGTTTACTGCTGCTTCGTGCAGGCAGTTCAGCGTGGGGCACATCAGCTTACTCCAGTACGGGGTGGAACTAATATCAAGCGGGAGTCTACGTTTGTAAAAACTGGTCTGTTTCTGAGTAGCCTTTACTTCTAATGGAAAGCCTGTTTACCACGCCCCCTTCCTTGATAGGTGCTGAACTCCTATTTTCCCCCATCCAGTGATACCGCACAGAGCTTCTCCTTGGGTTCTCTGCCTCTTCCCTGGACTCTCTGCTACTAGGCGTCTCTACCTCTTAGTCACCACTTAGGAATCAACACATGCCTCCAGGTGAAAACTACTGTGATGTTCACCCCTGAACTGCCTTTGCTCTAGGATCTTCACCCCATGAGTCCTTGGTACCTTAGTAGCTCTCCTTCAGATAGGTTTTGTTTTGTTTTTATCCAGCTTTTCTAATTGTTCTTGACGGGAAGTTCTTTCTCTTTCCAGCCAACACAGCCATAGCTGGAAGTGGAACTAAATTATCTTATTTTTAATTTCCCTGTATATTATTTTGTATTTTCCACATACACAATCATTTCTACAAATAGTGACAAATTTATCAATATTCCTATCTGTTATTTATATTTTCATGCTTCATGGCTAAGATATGTTCTGTCAGTGGCTGCAAAGTTCAGGTCCTGGGTGGGGGTTTTTTGTTTTGTTTTGGTGATAGGGAGGCGTTGTAAGTGCTCCAATTTTTGCAGTTCTCATTTATCTTGCTGGACTCTTTAATTTCCCTCTTTTGCTTCTTAACTCTTTCATCACTTGGTTGTCAAAGGGTGCTTCTTTCTTT